TTGCTCTCTTGAAATTTTCTTAGTGTTTACTAAATGAGACTGATCACTTTGGGGAATAACACATGCTTAGCTAACTTACTAATAAAATAAATTAGTAGTGTTAAAAACTGTTTATACAACTATTATTTTTCTGATGGTTTTAAACTGAAGCCTTTAGTAATAACAGATATAAACATGTCTCTGATTAGGTAAGGTTTCTCAGATACAATATTTTGTCAGGAAAAAGATGTAAAGATAAATGTATTTGTATATGTTTGTTGATCTCCACCTAGTGGCATAGAAATAATAAGCTCTATAGTCAGACAGTCTGGTGCCTGTCACTTAATAGTGGGTGCTTTGTCAAGTTATTTAACACCTTAGATTTTTCACCTATAAAATGGAGCTAGCACTAGTACTTACCTCATAGGATTATTGTGAAGATTAAATATGTTAATGAATGCAAATCATTTAGCACAGAGTCTGATAGGAATAGTGCTAGTTATCATGACTATCTTATAAATGCAGTTAATAATTATTAAATAATTACCAATTTTATTTCTGAAAAATAAAATCTATCCAGGAGACTATCTGTAGTGTATGATAATAGATGAATTGTATCACTCAGGTTATGATCAATAAAAAATCATAATTCATAGCTTAGATTAATGATTATAGATTTTTCCTTCTTGTCCTGTATAAGCATTTAGTGATATAAATTTTCCTCTAAGCATTGCAAGCCACAAATTTTTATACATTGCATTTTCATATCATTTAGTTTCTTATTATTTCCTTTTGGGTCTTAGATTTTTAGTGTTTAATTTCATAGTAGTTGAGGATTTACCTTTATTTTTATTGATTTCTCATTTAATAATGTGTTTAGAAAATATCGTATTAGATGTGTGTTAATGTATAGTGTATCATTTACACTTCAAAAGAGTATGTATTTGTTTTATAAATTTCAAATAAGTTAGGGTGGTTGATAGTGTCCTTTGGATCTTCTGTATGTTTCCTGTTTATTTTTTTTTTGTTCTAGTGGTTTTATCTATTACTTGTTGAGAGTGATCATTTAGTCTCCAACATGATTGTGAATTTGTCTATTTCTCTAATTTTGTCAGTTTTGTTTCATATGTGTTGATGCTCTATTATATTTTTTATAATGTATCTCATCTTGATACTTTCCTGATATATAGACCCTTTCATCATTATAAAGTTTCCGTCTTTATCTGTTTTCTGATGTTAACATAGTCACAGCAGCATTTGTATGCTTACTGTTTGCATGTTACCTCTTTTTTCAGCCTTTTAGTGTCAGTCTGTGTCTTTGTATTTAAAGTGAATCTCTAGGTTAAAAAACATTATTTTTGATATCTTGCTGTATTATCCATCTGACAATCTCTACAGTTTGATAGTTTTTAGTCCATTACAGTTAATATAATTATTGATATGGTTGTGCTTAGATCTATTTTGCTATTTGATTTTTGTTTTTTCATCTGTTTTGTTGTTGTTTCTATGTGCTTTCTTTCCTTTATCTCATGTCAGTGTTTTTAAAGTATTCTATCTTAATTCCTCTGGCTTTCTACCTATATGTGTTTTCTTTTCTTTCTTTTTTTTTTTTTAGGGATTACTCTGGCAGTTTATAATAATGTATCTGTCTTAAAATTATATCAGTATACTTAGAATTAATATTGAATTATTTAGTTAAGTTATAGGAACCTTGCAGTTTTATATTTAGTTTACATTTACCCCATTAATGCTTTTGCTTTCCTTGTGTGTCACATTCTTGTTTTCATATATATTGTGGTCTTGTTTTCACGTATATTATACTCTGTATTGCTTCTCATATGTTATAAATCTATAAATACATTGTTTTCCATTGTTGAATTTTAAAACAGAATTTTAGAACAGAAAAGATATAGTCTTGAATATTAATATTTATCCTCATGTTTACCTTGTTTGGTCCTCTTCTTTCGTTCCTGTGAATCTGAATTGGTATTTCCTTCCAAACTAAAGAATTTCCTTAAGGTTTTATTACAACATAGATTTGCTAGTGATGCATTCTCTTGGTTTTTGTATATCTAAAAATGTACTTTTGTCTCTGTTGCCTTCTTTTCTCAGGGAGAGCTTCATTGGATATAGAATTTTACTTTAAAGTTTTTTTTTTTTTTTAATTAGCATTTTGAATATATTGTTCCAGTGTCTTCTTGCTCCCATAATTTCTAATCAATAGTCAACAATTTCTCTTTGGTTCTCTGTAACATGTAATTTCTCTGGTTACTTTCAAAATTTTCTTTTCATTCTTTTCATTTCAGTAGTTTGGCTCTAATGTGTATAGGAGTAAATTTTTTAGTGTTTGTCCTGCTTGGGTGAGGTTCATTGAACCTCTTGGATTTTTAAATTGATGTTTTCCACCAAATTTGGTAAGTTTTGGTTATTCTTCAAATTCAAATAATTTATCTTAGTCCTTTTTTTTTATTTTCTATCATTTAGGGCTTTGCTGAACTTTTTTATTATTGCACAAGTTTCTGGTTCTTTTCATATTTCCTTCTGTTTTTCTTTCTGTTCTATGGACTAGGAAATTCTATAGATCTAGCATCAATTTCACTGAGATTTTTCTGCTCCCTGCAATCTGCTTTTGTGCCTACCTCACTAATTTTTATCAATCATTCCTTTCAGCCCTATTCTTTCCATTTTTGTTTTTCAGTTTCTACTTCTCTTTTGAGATTTCCTGTTTGTGCATTCATTAATATTATATTTTCCTTTGATTCTTTGAACACATTTTTAATAGCTACTTTGAAGTTTTTATATGCTGAATGTAACATCTGGCTCTACTTGGAGTCATTTTCTATTGACTTATCTTTTGTCCCTAAATTGGCTTCCACTTTACTGGTCTTTGCATATTTATTTGATAATTTTTTTTTATAAATTTCAAAACTTAGAAAATTTTGAAAACTGGACCTTACAGATAATGTGTGAGTAGATTCAACTCATAGTGAGTAGATTCTTTTTACATTCTTTGAGGTTTGTTGGAGATTTTCAGTTTTGGATTTTAAAGATTTTATTGTTTGTTTATAAGTTTTCTGTGATCATTATTGTAGAAAGATTTGTAAGATTTAGAATGCATTATAATCTTGGGATTGGGCCAGGATTTTCTAAAGTCAAAGAATTATTTTCTTCAATTTCAATAAAATTTGAGTTTTGCCAATGAAAACCTTAATCATTTGGAGTTGATCTCAGTATAATGTATCAAAGTAAATTGTGATTATTACTTATTAAGCAATTATCATGTGTCATGTGTGGTATTAAGCACCTTATATACATATTTGGATTAATCCTCATAATATTCTCAATATCCACATTTTGGAAATTGGGAATAGTATCTCTTCACATAAATTCACATAGCTAATAAGTTGGAACTATAAAGATATGCTCAATCTTTCTGACTTCAGATTCCTGGCTCTTTAGGTCTATATTGTCCTTCCTTCTTTTTTCGTTGCTATTATGTGGTTTTTAAAAGTTGTTTTTTTAATCCTAATATTTCTAATGATTTTACACAATGGGTTGACTTTGGTCAAATTGGATGTCCAGTAAATAGCATATCATACCATAACTATTAATATTTTTATCATTCCATTTCATACCATACTATTTTTTAGGGGAAAAAAAGACTTAGATTCTTTTATTCTAATTCTGGCTTTAAATATTGCCTTTGGTGTTTTGGTGGATTAATATTGATAATTCAGAGTGGGATTGATCAACATTTTAAATGTCAGAAAATGAATAATATTTGTGTTTAATCACTCATCACTTAAAGCATCTAATTGCTTTAATATCTCTATGCCATGTACAGCTTAATTTTTTTTAAAAAAACTTCTAGAATTTCCTTTGAAAATTGTATTTCATGTGGCAGATGTTTAACTCCTGGGTATCCTGGGGTGTTTATCTGATAAAACTCTGTTTCTTCAGGTAAAGCCATTTAGGTGTCCAGATTGAAATAAGCTACTCATTATTCTCATTTCACTTTACTATTACTGTATTTTTTTATTATGTGTAATATATGCCAGAGGTTCCTTTGCAAAATTCAGAAGTTTTGTTTTTCAGAGTGGAAAACCTGCCGGCAGTGATTCAGGTGGTGTCATTGATCTCACAATGGATGATGAAGAGAGTGCAGCTTCTCAAGGTACTTAAATAGTAATCATACTAAGGAATGCTTTGATACCTGTTTTTTTACTCTTAATACAGTATAACATTCTATGAAGACACATCTTTATAGCAATATGCATGGCATATTTGTATCCCTTTTAGAATGAAAGTTTTTAGGTTAGAATTTAAAAATAGAAATCAAATTTTGAATGACTATGAACAAGCTGTAGAGGAAAACAGTAATTAGAAGAATATTTAATTTGTGGAGCACCTCTGTTTTTGTATCTGTTATCATAGTTAAGGGAACTTAATATTAGCCTTAGAGAGGACAAGTCAGAGTCAGTAAGGAGCCTGGGAATCCAATCCAGGTTCTCGGACTCTACATTAAATATGTGTGTGTGTGTGTGTGTGTGTGTGTG